TGCTACGCCAGAACCCTGAATTTTTTAATTTAACCAATCTGTAGTATAAAAGAAATGGCATAAATCATCTTATCATTATGGCATCTGATTGACAGAGATGAGAAAGTACATTTTGTATTCTTCAGAGAAACAAAGGGGACTTGAGCTCCGGGACAGCTGGCACATGTTGGCACTTAGTCTGGAAAATCCCAAGGTTGTAAGGTACACGTGGTCTTGGGTGCAGTTTAATTTGTATTATTTTATTTTAATGTCCATCAACTGCATTTCCGAAACTGAAAGTCAGGATGTATTACCTAGTAGTGCAACAGCAAGTCTGAAAATCCAGGTTGTATAAAAAATGGTATTATTTTTTCTGCAGAGCATTGCTTCTTCAAAGATCTTATCTGGAACTATAAATAAATAAAACAGGCAAACGCCTAAGTACTACAGCCAAAATTAGTGTATCTGTAGGGGATTGGGTAAGAACTGGAGAGTGAGAGGGACCTTGGGCTCCAGCTCTGATAAATCTCAACACCCTCAGCAATCCCTTAAAAGAGTTTCTCAGAACTCCTTCAAAAATCTGACTCAAATTCAGTCAAGAGCTAAAATAAAAACTTACATGGATTTATAAGTAGCCTAGAGGGGAAAAGATATTTACACATCAGTTTAACTGAGAAAATGTCATACTAAACTGAAAATTGGTCAGATCATTACAGCTTAAAGCACATTACTCTGAAATTGCATTTCCTTGCAGAAACAAACACTTCCATCCCAAATTGAAGTGTACGGTCAATAAAGTGTACATTAAAAGAGGGGAGTTGACGTACTCAGTAAACACTTGCTCAACAAACACTTTTACCCAGACACTGAAAACACCTGGGGAATGTTTCTCTCAAGACATGGTATCTTGAGAGAAGGACTGGTTCAATCTATGTATCTTTTTATCCTAAGATGAAAAAAATCCCAAACAACAATGGAGACAGACTACTGTCTTTTAGGCTTAAGTGTCTTGATGAATGACCTTGCATGTAATTTTCTCATCCCATTATAAAAATCTAATTCATTATTAAAATGAGAAAGTCACAGAGCCATTCTATAAACTATCAGATAGATATTTTCGTTTTTCTATACATACTATATTAATGAGCCACTCCCCTTTCAGTGTAATGCACACTTGAAACCATAAAAGTAAACAGGTATTTTGTTTTGTTTGTAGAAACTAAGTTAAAACATTCAGTAGGAAAAGAAGAGCATTCAATGTCTCTTTCTGTTGCTAGCCTGGATAGGTTAAGTTAAAAATTTACAGGATTGGCATCATTCAGTGATTCATCCCTCCATAATTTTGAATATTGTTTCCTATTTACCAAATTAGTTGGTACAAATCATAAATAATAAGGACACCATTTCTTGCTTATTTTTGTCTTTTTTCACTATCTGTATAAGGATAAATATCTTTTTAAATATTATTTTAAAGTATTAATACTTAGTATGTATTTTACAAATGTCCCAAGTGTTTTCACATACACTATCTTCCATACATAATATCAACTCTGGAGCTAGACTGCCTAGTACTAAATTCTGGGTTCAATCCCCTGTGAGACCTTGAGGAAGTTAACCTCTCTGTGCTTCAGATTCCCCATCTATAAAGTAGGATTCTGATAATTCTTATAACTCACAGGATTGTTAAAACAATTTAAGTGGATTAATATATGTTAAATACTTAAAACAGTGCCTACCACATGGTATGCACTACATAGCTGTTAACTTTTTAAACTATTGTTATCGTCATCAACCATTATGTGTAGGTCTGATAACAACCCTATAAAGACAGGATAACAGGTACCACTGCACCCTTTCTCCAAATAAAGGAATCCATCAGAGAGAAATCAAGTGACTAATCCAGAGTCACAGTTAAGAAGTGGAATTGGAACTAAAGAACTCAGGACTAAAAGATAATCAAGACTTTTCACTGCACTGTGCAGTATCACTTAACACAGTATATTTTCTGAGTTTACACAGTTCAGTATACTTCTAAAGACCATAGTCACTACTCTTTTAAATATTTAAACACTCAAATCATCTTAGGCAGCACACACTGGTAACCATGCTAAGAAAGAGTCTTTTATCCAAAAGATACTTGTGTATCTTTTCTTATTTAAGTAACAAAATGAGTCAAACTTCTAAAGAGAAGTACACACTAAATAATTTGGTTGGCTGGACAAGATGTACCTGTCATGAGTTTTCCAAAATTTAGAATTTGAAATAGCAAAACATATACCCCATAAAACTTCCATGTTATGATTTATGCCAGGCAGTGAAAGCAGCATGGTATTTCAAGTCAAAGCTCCAGTTCCACCTTTTCAAGCAAGGGACACTGGACAATCATATCACTTCTCGGCACTTTATTTATTCATCTGTCAAATGAGGGCCTACCTGACAAAGCTGTTACGAGAAATAACTTAGATGATGTAGGTTACACAGTTTTGTGACTATAAAAACTACACCAAAATGTGTTCACACTACTTTGATTATATTGATAATACTGAACATTCATTTATTCATTCATTAATCATTTTCCCTTAGAATATTTCTGACAAAATTCTTCCAAAATAGAAGTATCACCCTGAGCATTTTGTGCAATTACAGTATATTAAGTAACAATGTGGATTGGATTAGCACAGTGAAAGAATTTTAAGTAACCTGCAAATTATCTATTCTAGTACCATGTGCTTAAGGGAGACTGGGTAAAATATGAGCCCCCAAAAACAGGAGAACAAGTCAAGTGACAAGCACATGTATTTTCCTTTCTGATTTTAAATTAAACAATAGTAAACATTTTCAGTTAAATCACAAGGAAACTCAGTGGGTGTATTATCATCATACCGGCAACTATATTATATTTGTGTGACACTACAGTTTTCAAAGCATTTCATACATATCATCATAGAAATACAATCAATGCTATTCTGGTTTTTCCTCAAGTGTATTTTAACATTCATAAAACTTCCTCTCTTAGGCAAGTCCCTTAACTTTAGTTGTCCCAACATAAAAAATGAAGGAATTAGAATGCATAATAGACAAGGTCTTTTTTTAGTGCTATTATATTTATGATTTTGAATCTGCGATTACAAAAAAAGCACAAAAAACATTTAATAGGAAGAAAATTTGTAATTACAAAATAAAATAAATTTATCAGAAATGAATGAGTGATTTAAAAAGGTCACTTTTTAAAATATTACAATTAACACATATCCAAAATATCCAAAAAAACTGGGTAATTGCATTTTATAGTTAAACTTAGAAGTGAATTTAAGAATTATAGAGTATTTTAAATAAAATTGGATAACTAGTAATATAAGGTTACAATTCAATAACTATCAATGTACAATACACAATACAAAATATACACAGCACCAAAATTAATTCACACTCTTATAGTTTATAAAATGTTTAAATAGTTTGGTCCCTCAGAGATATTGTAAACACAAACCACAACAATGTAGTACTAAAAATATAAAATAACTTTAATTATTTAATGTCTCTGGCTTGGTACATAAAGCATCAGATTCTGAACCAAGCAAATAAAACCATTCTTAATAGTGTCTAATAGAATCCAAAGAGAAAAACAAAGTTTTTTCATACTACCTATGTTCATGTTTTCATACTACATACTGTTCATACTATAATTTATCAAGTACCTATTTGCACAGCACTGTGCTAGCTACTACCATCATTCAAAAATGAAATCAGAGCCCTCCTCTTCAAAAGCATGAAATGTAAAGGTCAAGTAGGAATAGTGCAATGGGGGAAAAAAGAAAAAGTGTTTTTCCTCTACGTGGACTATCAGGGTTTTTTTCCACTCAATGATTTCAAGATCAAAATCAATCACATAACTGACTACAGATGAAGAAACAGCCCATGTTTTTCATGCACATAACCAATATGTGCTTTTAGTTATTTTTTTAGGAACAATGATGGATTAGCTATAATTTTACATATGCACAGTGAAGCTGTCGGGCTCAACAAAATTCACTATGTGAGTTGGTGAAATCTAGCACTGGAAGTCAGGAAATCACTTATAGCACCCAAAGGCAATACTGTCTGTCACTTTGGGGGAAACAATACCAACCTTTCCTGGCCTTCTATCTATTGGGCCTTTGGGTAAATTATTAAATTTCTCTAGGTCTGTTCTCTTATCTACAAACTTACAGAGTTAGACTAGAATCCAAAAACATCTGGATTGGTGGTTTTCCCTCTAAGTGAAAATTTTGGGCCCACTTCCAGTGCTTCAGAATGCCTGGGCTGGAATATAGGCAGCTACATGTTCACCAAGCACCACACGTGATTGAAATATACAGGTGAGCTTCCCCTGCATTTGAGGACAAGTCCTAGTCACAGTAAATAATCTCTTATGCCCCTAACTGTATTAAAAAAATGACATAATTTGTTTCAGTGCCAAAGTCTTAGGAGTTCTGGATCTAGCATACTGTGCAGAACACAGTAGATGCCAAACAAATATTTACAGAGAGGAAGCAGGGAGGCAGGGAGGGAGGAAGGGAGTGAATAAAGGGAGGAAGGGAGGAGGCCAGCTTGGTAACTGGTAATACTTTTGGCTAAGAAACATACAAAACGGTAGTAAAGTTAAAGTTGGGTAAAGCACACATCAGCAGCTGAAAAGCAAAGACTGCAGTCTCTACACACATGATTTTTTTTTTACACACACACAATTTTAAATAGCATGAGCCCTTGTCAAAGAGCAAAGGAGGAAAAGGAAAAAAACAGTATATGGAAGCCAAAGAATTCTAATGGAAAATTACCGATGACTAAAATTTAGTCCCACTTTTCCCCAGGTAGAAGAGAATACAGATTTTAAGAACTGGGACTTGGAATTGGGACTAAAGTTTGTAGTTATTGGTTATTCATATGCAAAAATTTCATTTGGGGTAATATATGGATTCCAGAATATTGTTGGCAATATTAACTTTTGTCCATTTTTAATTTTCATTTTCCCATTCACTTACATTATAATTTTTGAGATGTTTTATCTTCACTTCTGATGATCTTCAAATGTCAATGGCTCTTAACACATTAACTGAAAACAAACACAAAGGAACTTAGGGGAATTCAGATATTTAAGGAACCCTACAATAAAATATTCTAAATTACTCTGAAAATCCTGTGGGGGAGGGAGGAGTAGGTAGAGAGTAGAAGGGAACTTTGGCATGTGTTTACCTGCTTCACAATTTATCTGATGGTTAATGTAAAACTCTTCTTTTGAATGGTAATGATACTATCCTCTTAATCACCAAACAAAGAAAACAAAATCAAGCTATTTTCTGTGCGAATAAAACATTCAAAGCTAGAGAAAATTCTGTCCAAATATGGACACTCTAACTAAGCTCACTAACATATTGTACACCTTATCCTCCCCCACCCCAGCAGTGCAGCGGTCAAGGAAACTGACTTCTTTAAGGAAACTGGCTTCTTTGTCACTGTCGCCCAATTAACCTGCCCTGGACTGCCCTCTAACTATCAAGCATTGGCCTGTACCTGCACACTAGGTCTTCAGGTTCTCTATAGCACACAGAGCCTGGAGTTAAACAGATTTTGGGGTCAAACATCAAATTGCTCACCCTAATCTCCAGTTTTCACATCTGTAAAATGGAAACAACAATACTGTTTATTTTATATAATTATTAAGGATTATATGAGAAAATATACATTAAGGGATTTAGCACTATGCCCAGCATACAGCAAGCTCTCAATAAATGTTAAGTGCTATCACTTATATTATTTAATGTTAATAGTATTAATTTATTACTACAACAACTATCTATTCCTTGAAAAGCAAAGCTTATGTCAGGTGTTTGCATTTTTAGGTACTGCCTTTGGTTATAACTGAGGATTATTATCCAATACCAGTAACAGAGGACATCTTTATGACAAAAAAAAATTATTTTTGAAGTATACCGAGCAGCTTGGCTCAGCTCAAGTAAATTAGGGCTTGTAATCATTAGCCCATCATCAGCTAAAGTTATTATCCCTTTTGCTAGTGTACAACCACAGAACAAAGTCCGACTTGGACAACTGCTCACTTGCAGTCATCAGTAACGGGCACCTCTGTAAACGAAGGAGAGGATATATTTTTGATGCATATCTATTAAACCCTCTAAGCCAATGAATAATGCTGTATCAATTCAAAGGAGATTTCTCTGCCCTCTTCTACTCACTCTCAAATGCTTCAAATATCAATATTTATATTAGCTGACAAAAAATGCATAAAACACTTATTTCTCTAAATTTTCAATCAAATTTTTAAATCAAAGATATAAAAACAAACATGAAATACTGACAAAACCAGTCATAAAATAACATGGTCCAAAATGACCAGCTTCATTTCCCTTATGAAAACCAAATCTTTAGAATTGAAATGAGAGAAATTACCTAAGTAGGCAGGTAATTACCTAGAATATTACCTGAGGCAATATTCTGGGGCAAAATAAAGCAAATGGATACATGGCTTGGAAATGAACACATCAAACTGCTGAGGCAGAAGCGGTGAAGACCGTCATCCTCACCACCACCACTTTACCATGCAATTCCTTGAGCTCTTCAAGTGAAATAAATGAAATAGCAGTTATTCATTTTTCATGTGTTTTCTACTTGCCTTTCACTTAATGATCTAGCAATTATTAAATGTGTCCCTTTTATTTTATGGTATTAGATTTGGATCATAAAAATCTGGCCCAAGAAAATACACACAAAAAGGTAGAAAGTTAAAAAACTCAGAGTATTCCAAACTGCAGTTCTCTTTTTTGGTCTGCTACAATATATTAACTATCTCTTTCAGTGTATTTTCTATTTTGGTCATTGCACTTGCAAGTCCAAGAATGCCTCTGGTGTAAGTGTTGCAGACTTTCACTGGAAAATGCCTTCCCTGCTTTAAAATGATTCCTTTGGTATACCGTGGGAGAAAATGCTGATTGTCTCCAATACCCAGGCTCTCCTACTCCTTGGAAACTGAAGTCCAACTCTTGGTGCAGCACAAGGCCTCCCAGAAGAGACTATATATCTTATCCTCCCTTGTGGCTAGGTAGGGCCATGGGACCATGTTCTGGCCAACTGTATATAAGTTTAAAAAGACTACGTGTAACTTCAAAAAAGTATCCTTTCAAGAGAGAGAACATGGCTCTCTTTTTCCCTTTCCCCTTCCTTTTGACTAGGATGAAGATAGAGCTCCAACAGCAATTTTGGTTCCTGAAATAACAGTCAAGTTAGACAGAATTTCTGTCCTTGATACTCCAGATTCACCATATCAGATCTATATTGACTATCTTTGGGCTTTTTTTTTTTATCCTCACCCAAGGACATTTTTTCATTGTTTTTTAGAGAGAAAGGTAGGGGGAGAGAGAAATATTGATGCCAGAGAGAAACATTACTGGTTGCCTCCCATATACACCCAGACCAGGGATTCTAAGTCCCTGGACAGGGAACCAAACCTGCACACTATGTATGTGCCCCCAACTAGTAATTGTTGAACCCACAACACCTCAGTTACAGGAAGACGCTCCAACCAACTGAGCCACACCAGCCAGAGGGACTATCTTTGGGCCTGTGTGTGTGTATGTGTGGTGGGGTGGGGGTGGGGGAGATTATCTCTATTTTAAGCCACAGTTAGTTTGGATTTTCTGCTATACTCTGCTAAACTTAAACCCTAACTTAAAAAAAAAAAAAAGGAGAGAGAGTTTTCCAAGTATCAGTATTTAGATTTTTTTAAGTCTACAGATTAGAACATATTTTAAAAGTTAATTTTTATTATATTGAAAACATAGATTGGCCCTTATTTCATCTAGAATAAAAACTGTTTAGTGAGCCTAAGAGTTAATCACATCCAGTAAGAGTCTTTGAAAGAATGAAATTTCATCAGCAATTACTGCCATGGGTACTATGTACTTGAGCAGGGGAAGAATTATAAAGCTTGCTCATTAGCGGTCTGTACAGATGACAATGTTGATACATATATAGAAACACATTAAGAGGGATAAACACAATTAGTTCTGTGTAATAAAGTTACAGGAAAGGGAATTGAGATTATTATTTTCATTAAGAGGACATCTTCTCTAGTCCCTTTAATTTTAATAACCTTATACCAATCTTTTCTTTTTTTATAGTTCCATTTTTAACCTGACTTCCTGTGGAAGCCAGGCTTACAAAATCACTCCCAATCTTGACTATAACCTCTCAATAGTTTTTAATCCATGTAAAGCATACAATAGGCACAAACTGCTTTACCTATTCAAAACTAATTACCTTAAAAAGAGAAAATATTCTATACTAAAATCCACTGGTCAACTGCTGAATCACATGCCATCTTTGGCCCAGGGAGATTCTGAATACAATAGCATTAACCTAGCAGCTTTCCAAAACAAACTTAATGCTTTCTGGACATCTGTATCTGGGTTATTTCCTTCCCTTGGGCATAATTCAGGCTTTATTGGTTCAGGTGATGTCCTGAATCACCTCTTCATAACACATTTTTTACATGCATGCTACCATTAATGTAGCTCATCTAGGATCTATTTTTAAGAAAAAGCCTAAGATGTGTATTCTTGATTTGTGTTACTCACGGTGGAGAAATAAAAGACCTGGGAAAATTCCCTAACAATTAGATACAATAAATCTATGAGATGACTTACTTTCTACTACTTCAGTTAATATTTTACAAAAATGCTCTCAAGTAATAGGCTTATTGTAGGTAGCTCTAACACAGGTCATCACTTAGCCTATTTCAACTAATACTGATGCAGTTACTAGGCAACAATTAGTAAAAGACTGAAGGCAGTGGTTCTCAAACATCTCCATGTATCAGTATCACCTAGAGGACTTGCAAAAGCACCAACTGTGGGTTCCACCCCCAGAGTTTTTCATTCAGTTAGATATGAAGTGGGACCAGGGAATCTACATTTTTAACAAATTCCCAAGAGTTGCTGATGCTACTGGTCTAGGAACTATGGATCTACATTAATAGAGGACTACTCATGATAGCATAAGGAGGAAAGAAGAAAACATATATGGATCCCAATCTTAGCTGTGGTATTAACATACACTTTTGATTAGTAATGTAATTAATCTCTTTAAATGCGCTTTCTGAAAATCTACACAATAATTACTAATTAGTTTGTAATAATATCGTATCTTATCTTACAGAAATTTTAAGTTTTTTTAGAGTCCCAGAATAATGAAATCCAACACAAGTAATCTTTAGGCTATTGATATTTTCAATGTCAGATGCAAAGTGCTAATAATAAGGCCAAAATTGGTGGTTCAACCTGTTAGCTTCACTTTGCTCTATGGCTATAGCTTCTACAATAAGTCCTGGCCAGCTGCCTCAAAAGACATGCCAAGAGTCACAAAGGAAATGTAAGAATGTATGATTGGACACAAATCCATCACTACTACTGGAAAAACAACCCAAAAGCATATTTCCTACCAACAACATATCTATCAATGACCTTGAAGATAAAACTAAAGATGAGACCTTGCTACAAAATGTGTTTTAGAAGTCTTAAAAACTCTCCTACCTCTTCAGTTTATAAGTACCATCAAAGTTCATGGAAACAGAAATCCAGAGTTTCTTGTTTTCCAGTGATGACAATTTCAAGGAAGACTCCATTTAAAAATGTATATAGTTGGACAGTACATTTTCAGTATATTATGGGTACCTCCCCTTTGATTTGTTTTAATCTAAGTTAAATGTAAGTATGGGATATTTATAAGTGATAATGAATTTATAAACTAAAAATCAACTGATAAATCAAAATAATCTGAAACAAAGCAGTGGTGCCCAGAATAATCACAGCATGAGGATACATAAAGGATTAAAGAAATACACATGAAATAAAATCACCGACAAGATAAGTTGGGAAGAGTACAAAAGTAATCAAGAACAGCTGATGGAAACGCAGGTTGACTAAGAGAACATAATATCACAAAGACATATAGGACTAAATACAGGAAACATAATGCAGTAAATAAAATCAGCTCAGGGTGTCAAGGGGCTTCATGCAAGAATAACTTCATCTTGAACTTGAAGTTGTGAGGTTATAGGCAAAATTCAACTGAAGAAAATGCTTTTTCCACTCAATCCTTTGAGTGGAAACAACAAATAAGCAAGTGGTGAACATTCAGTCACCATTTCTTTATTCAAATGTTCACTGGGCACATATTTGGCACTAGACAAACATGGCTGACCCTTGAACAATATGGGAGCTGGGGTGCCGACCCTCCAGCAGTTGAAAATCGAAGTATAACTTTTGACTACTCAAAAACTTAGCTGTCCCTCAGTGCCTGCATGGGATTGGTTCCAGGAACCCCATAGATATCAAAATTCACAGATATGTTAAGTCCCCTATATAAAATGGTGTAGATCAATGCATCCAGTGGCTCTCCGTATCCGTGAACTCCCAACTATGATCAAAACAGTACAGGTATTTATTGAAAAAAAAATCCAGCCCTGGCTGGTGTGGCTCAGTGGATTGAGTGCTGGCCTGTGAACAAAAGGGTCGCCGGTTCGAATCCCAGTCACAGCACATGCCTGTGTTGGAGGCCAGATCCCCAGTAGGGGTGTGCAACAGGCAACCACACATTGATGTTTCTCTCCCTCTCTTTCCCTCTCTGTAAAAATAAATAAATAAAACCTTTAAAAAAAAGAAAAAAAAGAAAAAAATCCACATGTAAGTGGACTGGTGCCCTTCAAACCCATGTTGTTCAAGGGTCAACTGTATTAGCATTTGATCATACATAGTAAAAGTAAAGAAACACACTCAAGCAATATATTTTATAGCAGCAGACAAACTGGAAAAATAGAAAACCAGACTAAGGCAGAATAGTACCAATATAGTTTTCAACTTTGCTGTATAACTCCTACAATTCTGAGGCTCTCATAAAATAGCTATAATATATAGCCTACAGTATTGTTTTATCTATATCTCATATAAGTCACATATTTCTATCAAGAATCAGAGCAAAGACAATAAGAATAAAATTATAGAAAACAAATTATCATTATGCTGAAATGAATTTTTTCACAACTCTGTGGGTCTGAACATGTAGAAGAATGGGCAATATAGAGCAAGATGATGTACAAGAGCTGCTGAACAGCTCATTGTAGCAGGGTAATACCAGACAGGACTCACCAAAGAAAATTCCATTTTTTTAAGGATGCTAATTAGGAAACTGCTATCGTCGTGTCATATAAAGAATCAAATGCACAAGGATGAAAAGTATAGCATAGGGCATGTAGTCCAGTAATATTGTAATAACTACGTGTACCAGGTGGGCCCTAGACTTATCGGGGATCACTTTGCAAGTTATGTAGATATCTAACCACTATGTGGTGTACCTGAAACTCATATAATATTGAATGTCAACTGTAACTGAAAATTTTTTTTTAAAAAGTCAAAAGAAAGAATGCAATTGCTCTTTTGTGACCGAAGGCAGCAAGCCTATGACAACCTAGAAGGCAAAACTAGAAGCCATAACGAGTTTGAGATGAGTATGCATATATATGTATATATGTCTCTCTGTGTGTATACATACACACATATGTATATATGTATATATACGTGTGTGTGTGTATATATCAAGACTCAACATATGTTTCCTGTGCACTACAGATCCCACAAGAGCCAGTCATCCAACTTCAATGGAGTGCATCATTTAAAATTTTTTTAAAAAGGGCAACCTGATAAGTTTGTGTATTGTTTTTCAGACTTATATACTTCCCAAAACACCTTACAAATTAACATATTTAAACACAACACGTATTTAAACTGAATCTAATAAAAGGAATTAGAGATGAGTCTATTACCAACTTCAGTTACAAATTTGCTAAGCTAAAGAGGATAATCAGTTACATAGTTTCCATTTTCAAACAAACAGGAAATACACATAATTTTTTGCATAATTTTCATTGGAGCTAAACTCAGCAGAAATTTATGTCAACTTAGTATGTAAAAGACAATCTACAACATATGAAACTGTATTATTAACCATATTTTGCAGGGATATCAAAACAAATTCACAAGGTAATTTTCTAATACAAAATTTGAAATAAAAAATTTCCTAATTGTATAAAACAGAAAGCATAAAAATAAACTACAACTTAAAAGCAACATTTCTGCAAAAGGCTGAGATAACATAGTTCAAACATCTATTTTTTGGTTAATCATAGGTTAACAAGTAAAAACAAGCTGGGCAGCCACTTAACATAGATAGCTATTATAACCATGGTTGTCCGCCCTGCCTTTGTACTAGAATCACCTGTGATTGTCAGCTTAGAGTAAGTGCAAATACAAACTTTCCAAAAAGTGTCTACAATGTAGCTATTCTTTACTGTTGATAAAAGTGCCACCAATAGTTATAATCATTCATGAACTAAAAGATATAAAAGATTTAGCAAGGATGAATTCTATACAGTAGACATTCAATAAATGTTATCTTTCTACCTTCAAAAGCAGAGGCATGCAAGCTGGCATTGACATGCGAAAGTGGAGAGTCGTACTTATATTTTTGTCCAGAGAAGATGACACTAACATGATAGTCAAAATTCTTTCAAAAAGCTCTTAAATTCTTCCATTAGTAACATAATTTTTTATTAAGATATTAAAATAGATCTATAAACTCTAACTACAATTGCTGAGCTTTCTTTTATCTTTAGGAAATAAGTGTTTAAGTGGCACAATTAGGTACATTAATTTGTAATAATAAACAACATTTATTTAGTGTAATTTCAAAAACCTAAAACAAAGGTTATTTGTAAAGGAAATATTTGATAAGAATGCACTCACCTTAGTAAGTGACAAAATACATTCTTAATTAATAAGTGATATGAATAAGAATGATTGATAAGAATGCATTCATCTTAGTATTATCAAGGTAAAGAATGATAGAAATTTAGAGTTCTAAGAAATCTTAGAGATCCGCTAGATCAACCCCTTATTTTAAAAGATGAGAAAACTTCATATAGAAAAAGTTAAATGATACAGGCCAACTAGCTACCTAAAACAAGCAAGGATTTTAGAGCCTGGGCCTCCTGACTCCTAGTACTTTCCATTTTCTAAGAGACTATGCTGCCTCCTGTAGTTTTAAATCCTCTGACTTGGATGAGGTTACTGGTTGTCTCACTGGTTTTCTTTACATTCTATTCTGAACCGTAGTTGTCATTTGTAACTTTCCCATAAAATTATAATTTTCCAATCTGTTTTCTGAATGGTTGTACAGAAGAGTATGTAAATTTTCAGCTTTCTAAATTTCAGACTAGTAAACATAGGTTTCACAAAATGCTTCAGTGCACAATGTACACAATCAAACGCAAAGAAAAATTCTCTCCTGGATAATTCAATCTAAAAATTCAAAAATACATTTACTGAGCAACTCTGGCATGCAAGGTCTCTGTCAACTGCTGGGGATAAGCAGCTGAACAAGTTATGGCCCTTGTGTTTAGTAGCTTATAACCTAGTAGAGAAGACAATTAAACCAACAATTAAGCTGTGCTCGTTAATGACTCCAAAAAAGGGAGACTAGTGCCTATAGGAAGGGAATCTAATTTAAAATGATGGAATCAGCTCATACTTTCCCAATGAGGTCCAGAACAGCAATAGGGAAAAAAATACCAGTATCACTCATATTCATCAGAGTCCAAAATGAATTAAAACAGACAGCAACTTCAATTTACTCAGGGGGAAAAAATTGTGTGTGCACTATTTTTCAATGGAAAAGAACGACTTCCTTGTGGCTAAATAACAAATACAATCTCCAATTATTTCTTAACAAAATTTTAAATCGCTATTTTAAAGAAACCAAAGAAAAAACTTGCACCTAAAACCTGTCTGCTTGATATTCACAAGAACTCTCTCCAAAGCTGCATACTAAGTTCTCAAAATTACGGGGGTGGGGAATCTCATCAGGTAGAAGAGAAATAACCTGGAGAACCGGTAACCTAATAAGAAAACTACCACTCACTATTCACTCAGGGATGAGAATTACTCAGATTTCTAGGTAATGACTTTCAGCTGGAAGATATAGACAAGCGAGCACAGTGGGCATTTTTATTTACATTCTTAAGTAAAGTAGGGGGATGGGTTCAGAGAGTTGGAAAAATCATCAGATATATGAAAGTGAACTGACAGAAAAGAGAGGAAAGGGATGGGCAAGAGTTCAAAAACCAAAGCCATAAAGATGGGTTGAAGAAAAGCTGGAGGGTAGTTTGGGAAAGAATAGTAAAGAAAAAGGCAGGGAGGAAATGGGGCAAAGGGGAGGGAGTAGGGATGTCTAAAAAAATTGATTTGAGAGGAAACGAGCGACCAGAGAAAGGAGTGAACAGAGCTACCTCAACCGGGGATAAAACTAAATTGGAATACAAAAGGTAGAGGGGGCGTTAGAGAAGCAGTGAGCTTTAACCTCCTTTTTCCCAGCCTCTACGCCCCAGAGAGGGAGGAAGTGGCTCTCTCAAGTCCCAGGGAAGGAATTCCGGCGCAGCCTTGGAGAACCAGAGTCTGCCAGTTGGGACACCATCCAGCGGTCCCCGGACCCTCTCATTCCCCTATCCCTTGGACGCTGGGCGGGGCCCTGGGCGTCCCAGTTACCTGGACAGGGAATCCACGCTGGGCGGCCGTGCTGCCGCTGGGTGGGTGTCAAGACTCTCGCAGCTTGAGCTCTTCTCCATGGCGCGGCGCGGGCAGAGGGACGGAAAGGCTGAAGCGACCTCCACCGCAACCGGGCGGGAGGAGCAGAGGGAGGAGTGCGCCGGCCAGGACCTCGGTCAGGCCAACGCCGGCCCGGGAGGGAGACCGGAAGCGGCCATGTTCCCCCAGACTGCACCGCGCCCGGGTGCTGCCGGGGAGCGGGAGGACCCTGTGGCGCCCCTCGGACGCCGGCCGGGACGTGTTGCTCTAGCAGCATCCTCTCGTGCTGCCTCTGAGCAAGGGAGGTGCTGGCTGCTGGGGTGAGAGGGTCCCACGAGGCTGTAGGGATGAAGAGCCTGTGGAAGGAGGGAAATTTTAGAAATAAGAGATGCTGAAGAGAATACTAGGGACGAGGGTCTCAAAAGAAAGTCAAGGATCTGAGGGGCGAGCGTAATTGAGACAGGAATGTGGAGGTCAAGGAAGGCCAGATGACAGGGTCTTAAAGGAATGTGGGCGAACGGTAGGATGGATGTTAAAGGCGCAGAAAGGACTGGGGAGACAGTGTCAGGAAGGGAGGAAGAGAACGGAATAGGATAGGAGAGGTAAAATGGCAAAATACTCGCCAGATTTAGGGTCCTAGAATAATGATTAAATACTTACTAAGTAATGATTAAAGGATGTTTTAGAGCCAGTCAGCCCTCAACTCAAAATCCTGCCTCTGCCAGATCCTTGCAGTGTAACCCTGGACATTGAACGTAAACTTGGTTATCTGTAAAATAGGAAGAATAATAGTTTTGCAGTTTACATGAGTTAGTACATGTAAAATGCCTAAAACAATGCTTGGCACATAGTAAGCACTCGAGTATTAGCTGTTAGCATATATTAGCTGTTATAACAACCCACTTCATAAGGGTTGTTAAGATGGAATGGACTAATGTATATAAACAGTTTCTAACTCAAAAACTTCAAAAAATGGTGGCTGCAGGAGGGGGAGATAGAGTGAGAGTGGCAGAGTGGTAAGGGAAGGGTAATAGGGAAAGCGTTGGACTGATGGAGGTGGGGTGGGGAGTGGTAATGCTCATCTTTCTATTTCCACTCCAACCCTGGGCCAATATTGTATTTAGAAAGGGCACTAGAAAAGAACCTGAAAAGTTCAGTTCTGCTGTGACTTGGAGTCTCCATGGTCTGCAAGTGTCTGAAAGGGAAAAGCACTTTGGCATTAATCCATTGTCACACAGATATAGAAGAGGAAATTCAGAGGGAACTGATAAATATGCAAAAAAACAAAATCAGACACATGCTACTGGATGTGGTGGTGTTGGTTAGAGAGCAAACTTTTAGTCATCATTCCTGCCCTCTCAAATTCCCCTGCAGAACAGGAAGGGAGGGGAAAGGATGGAGTTGTGATAAGAGAACAGGAACTGGGTGCAGAGGAAATGCTTCTGCCGGTAATTTTCTGTGTACAGAGGACACAGGAAGGACATGGAGAGGATACCATAAAGGAATTTTTTTGATTGAGGTTGAATCCCAGTCACCTCATGTATGGTGTAGGAAATGTGCAAAATTTATTTCTGTAAAAAATTGGACATTTTTTAAAAAACCCTTGCTAGGATAAGTAGAATTATGTTGATTTAAACTAGATTTAATTTATATTGACAACTGATGTTTTCAAGAAAATCTTATAAAGACAGTGAAATATTAACTTGCAATTACATTTCCCAAAAGAACAACCTAGCCAAGTTATATTCGTCATAAGCTAGAATACTTATTAAAATGAATTAATATGTGAGAAAGCACGAAATGCTTTGCCTTTCTGTTCCCTTCTAAAGCTTGGCAAGGACAGAATGATAGCCAATGTTTTTTATTTCTATAATTTTTGAAGAGACCTTAACTGTACTCCTCTAATAGGCAAAGAGAGTAAGTAGTCCAGAAACACATAATAAGCATAAACATCTACAATGACTCATAAATAATTTACTAGTACTTCCCCATCCTACCTGCCTTCTAAAATGCTGACTCACTGTTACTTGATACTTCGACATAGGTTTTCCAAGCTAAGTTTGGTGAAGACTGATGAATCTTTGAATGGGAGACCCGCATATTACTGCCCAGTTTATTTCTAGCACTTGAAACCATCTGCCTGATGATGTAATAATTTGTATATGGGCCAATCTAGTGATTACTAAAGAACACTAATATTAAGTGTAGAGATTTTTGAACCAGTTGAGTCTGAATTGGAATCCTGCTTTTGTCACATATTTGTTGCATGCTTTTGATTAAGCTGCTTCTCCAAGATGCAGTTTTCTTATCCCTAAAATGGAAATTAAAATACCACATAATATGTTGTTTTTCTATACACAGAGTTGGTTGAACAATAGGCTCTCAGTAACTGGTTTTGCTACTGTTATTGTTCTGTGAACTTACTGTTTTACTTCTCACCTGAACAGTAAGACAGTAACTTCTCAGATTGAACAACAAACAAATAATACCTTAATCTCAGCTGTAAATTAAAGTAGTGCTGAATTCTTTTTCTGACAATTGACTGCTATGTCTGTCATTTATTCATATATATATAATCTCCAAGAGAAGTCAACTTGATTAGGACTTTCTGTACCTAAAGAACATTTTAGCCTGTCAGGTCATTCAGAAACTATTGCTACAATCAAATTATAGCCTAGCCTCATCTCTCCTATTAAATGGTTAACTTGAGAGCTTCCCAAGGTTAATTTTCTTACTTGCAATCTAGACCAGTGTTTCTCAAATTATATGTGGAAAGAACCAGTTTTTTGTTTTTAATTTCCATACCATCACCAACCAATTTTTTTAATATATGAAAAATTAATGGTTAGAAAAAAGTTTAAGGAAAACCAAAGGCATGCCAAATAAAAGGGCTCTTTGTTCCTTATATTTAGCAGATACAAAATTGCCCCATAAAAGATGCATGAAAGATGCATCAAACACGTATTCTCAATTCTGTCCTCATCTCATCATGAACAAGGCAACAAATAATTCATGTACTAACACTGGTTGGCAGGTCACAATTTAAACAGCACTGATTTGGATCTATAGGTTTATTGCCTGTCAGTTTATCAAAGGCTGTTTACTAGATGATCTGAATTAGAATAAGGAAATAAACATCTTTTGAGATAGTAAAATGGTGGATTATGGACAAGTAGAGGAATACTTCTGCTTCTCTTAAAACATATGCCAAAAGTAAAATCTTTGGAAATATTAAGCATACATAAACCTTATAATTAATTATTTCTATCCAAACATTTACATTTTTTTTATTACTTTGGATTGGAGAATTCTTCTAGTATGGAGGAGTAAGCTTCCAACAGAAATGTGGAGAAAGTAACCAACAGAAAGTGAGTTTCCCATTTTCGCTTTGACCTATAGACAGACTAAAATTATGGTTCAGTACAGGGTGTCAAAAACTCACAAAGAAAGCCTGCTATTTTTCTGGTGTGAGGAACCAAGAGAAGGCAGCTCAGGGAAGCTAGAAAATGAGGCAGAAATTCAGAAAAGAAGAACCAGAAAAGGGAACTCTGAACTCTACAAACTCAGATACTCTCTGGCTAGGTCCTCTTTTTATTTGAATAACATAAAGGCAGGATGCAGGTAGCTCAGATAAAAGTACTAAAAATAGAATATCCTCCTACTACGTCAGATAAAAGAATTTAAACAAGGTTTGAGCTGTTACCCACTATAAGCAAGACAAAATTCTCATCTGGTTCCAACCAAGTTAATTTCTTGCTGAACAAAGGATCCACACTTTGCAGAGGAATAAAACAAAATCCAGAGACTCCGAAACAATGTTCCTAACACAGTTCAGAATTGCTTGACATAAAAAGTAAGAAGAGCTCTGGCCAGGTTGCTTAGTTGGCTGGAGTGCCATTGTCCCAGATGCCAAAATGTTGCAGGTTCCATTCCGGGTCAGGGCATATATCTAGGTGACTGGTTTGATCATCTGTTGGGGTATGTAAGGGAGGTAACCAATGGATGTCCCTCATATCAATTTTTCTAAGATCAATGAACATATCCTTTGGTGAGGATTAGAAAAAACAAATGGGACTTATTCTCAAAAGAAAAGATGATAAAGGAGAGGCTAAATTTCAGATCATGCAGATACTAGAATTATCAATGGCTTTAAAGCAGCTAATATGTTCAATGAGGTAAAGCAAAATACATTGTAATCAATGAAAAAGTATTAAAACTCAGAAGAGGAATCAAACACATAAAGAACCAAATAGAAATAGTAGGAAAAATACAGTGCCTAAAAATAAAAAGATTCACTGTCTGGGCCTAGTGGCAGAATGGGTTTAACAAAAATGTCAGAAACTTCCTGGCTGGCGTAGCTCAGTGGATTGAGCGTGGACTGAGAACCAAAGTGTCCCAGGTTCGATTCCCAGCCAGGGTACATTCCTGGGTTGCAGGCCATAACCCCCAGCAACCGCACATTGATGTTTCTCTCTCTCTCTCATTCTCTCCCTCTCTCTATCTCTCTCTCTCTCCCTCCCTCCCTTCTCTCTCTAAAAATAAATAAATAAAATCTTGGGGAAAAAATGTCAGAAACTTGAAGATAAATCAATACAAATGATCCAATATGGAAAAGAAAAACATTTTTAAAATATTAACAGAGCATGAGGAACATATAAAATAATATCAAAAGCAATATACCTATATTTGGAGTCCCAGAAGAAGTAGAAAAAATTAGGCAGAGAAAGCTGAAGAAACTATAGCCAAAAACTGACCAAATTTGGCCAACAACATAAATTTACAGATTCAAAATGCTCAGTAAACACAGAATAGGTTAAGTACAAAGCCATGTCTAGGCACATTATAATTAAACTGCTGAAAACCAAAGATAGAATCTTAAAAGCAGAGAAAAATAACACATCACATAAAGGGGAATCACAGTTCTAAAGGTCACGAATTCTCTAGCAGATAGTATGGATGATAGAAAACACTAGAGCAACATCTTCAAAGTGCTTTTAAAAAAGAAAAAGTCAAAACAACATATCACACAAAAGCATCTTTCGAAGATGATGGTGAAATAAAAACATTTTTAAGAGATTTTGTTTGTTTTCAGAGAGAGGGAAGGGAGGGAGAAAGAAGGATACAAGCATTGATCAGGCTGTCTCTCACAGGTGCACACACCCTGGCTAGGGACCCAGGCATGTGCCCTACCGCTAAC